TCAGCATCATCATCATCATCATCATCATCATCAGCAGCAGCATCATCATCATCATCACCATCAGCATCATCATCAACATCAGCAGCATCATCATCATCATCATCAGCAGCATCAGCATCAGCATCATCATCAGCAGCAGCATCACCATCATCATCATCATCATCAGCATCATCATCATCATCATCATCGTCAACACAGCAGCATCATCATCACCAGCATCAGCATCAGCATCATCATCAGCATCAGCATCAGCATCAGCAGCATCAGCAACATCATCATCATCGTCATCATCAGCATCATCAGCATCATCATCATCATCAGCATCATCACTACCACCACCACCACCACCACCACCATCATCATCATCATCATCATCATCATCATCATCATCATCATCATCATCATCATCATCCCCACTGCAGCGTTAGCGTCATTATTTCCAGCGCCATGTCACGGCATGGGGTCCAGTCCTTCCAAGCGGGCCCCAAAATCGGAAGCAATTCCACATTCGGAGTCGATTCGTTGATTTTCTAGGCCGCAGAAGCCCCTTTGGGGCGTCGCCACGCCATGCTATGTCAGGCTACGCGTTGATCCTCAACACCATGCTATGCCATGTAATAATATGCCATGATACGACATCCGACTGTGCGGATAGAAAGTCTACGCCATGGTTAAGGGATGGGAGGGAGGGGTAGGACGTCAGATATGACGCTGGAGGAGGAGGGTATAGGGAGGCGGAGGAGAAGGAGAAGCTTTTTGCGAGCTGCGGCCTCCGATCCCCGGGTGACGAAGTGGCCCTGATTTCAAAGTATTGTGCAACACAGCCTCGGCAGCACGATCTGCCTCTCAGGAGGAGAACGACGACGATGACGACGACGACGACGAGGATGACGACGACGACGACGGCGACAACCGACGACGACAACGACGACGACGGCGATGATGATGATGATGATGATGATGTTGATGTTGATGGTGATGATGATGGTGATGATGATGATGGTGATGATGATGGTGATGATGATGCTGGTGATGATCATGATGGTGATGATGATGATGCTGATGATGATGATGACGATGATGATGATGACGATGGAGAGGAGGATGAAGAGGAGAAGAGGAGGAAGATAACGGGAAGAGAAGGAGGAAGAGGAGGGGGAAGGAGGGAGAAGGAGGGAGGAGGACGGAGGAATAGCTCAGCCCCGCTGCAGGAACTCCGAGAACTTGGCCCCGGAGAGGATCGCCTTGGCCTGCTTGAGCGCCTCCACCTCCTCGTCGCGGGCTGTCTGCCGCAGGTCGAAGTTCTTCAGCACGAAGTCGCAGCTCTTGTGAAGCTGGGCATTGTAGTCGGACAGCTTCTCCAGGTCCGCGAGGATGCTGTCGAGGACCTCCTTCTGCTTCACGAGCTCGGCCTCCGTCTTCGCCTTCTCCTCCTCCTTGTTGATGATCTCCTTCTCCTTGGCCTCGATCGACGCGCCGGTCGCCTCGACGAAGGCTGTGTATGCCGCCTGCGATTCCTCCTCGGCCTTCAACGCTGCCGCCTCCATTGCCTTTGCGTCCTCGGCGATCTGCGTGATCAGCTTCATGACTCCGACGCTGCCCTCGTGGTTCTGGTAGTCGGCAAAGCCCGGCGGCGGCGGCGGGCCCACGGGCTCCTGCCTCTGGAGGAGCTCCGCGCCGGCCGCGCCGTAGAACTCCTCCAGCACCCCGAGCGCCGCCTTCAGCAGCTTCTGCGTCGCCCTCTGGTCCTGAGGGGCAGCATTAATCAGTGTGGGGGGGGGGGGGCTCCGAGGAGGGAGGGGGGGGGGCGGCATCGACCTGGAATCGGGATGCTTCGCCGACCGATCGGCGATGGGCCCCCGGTGGCGAATCCGCACGTTCCTGGGCGCGGTGGGCTGTCAGGCGCCTATCGGCGCTGGACGACGGGGGGTCGATGTGTCCCCCCTGGAGCCTATCCCCCCCAACGTTGCCCGTGATGTCCGCGACCGTGAGCTGGAACTCCTTGTTCGCCTCCTCGCGCTGCTCGCCCGCGGTCTTGAGCTGCAGCTGGGCCTCGGCGACCTCCCCCTTGAGCGCCTCGATCTCCTCGGCCAGCTTCTTGATGTGGGCCTCCAGCTCAGAGATCAGGAGCTCGGTGTCCGACTTCTCGCGCTCCTTCTTCTCGGTCTCCAGCTGGTTCTCGTTCAGCTCGTCGACGCAAAAGTCCTTGTGCTTGATCTCGACGTCCTTCTCCTTGAGGAGCGCTGCGATCATGTCGTCGATCGCCTTCTTCACGCGCTCGAACGCGTCGAGGCGGACCCGCGTGGCCAGAGCCGACAGGCGCGGGCTGTGCAGCTTCGCGGCGGCGGCCCTCAACAGGCTCGCGGCCTCGTCCCTGCGCTGGGAGTGGGCCGAGGTGCCGCTCTGCAGCAAGGCCGTGCCCTCGCCGCTCGCGGTGGAGGCCGGGTTGAAGGTCCTCGTGAACAGGTCGTGGGCGTCGTCTCCGCTCAGGATGGCCAGGGCCTTCGACACCGCCTCCATCTCGAGGGCGCGCGTCTTCGAGCGCTCCTCCCACTCCTTGTCCGTGAGGGAGCACTTCTCCTTGAGCATCAGGAGGAATTGCTGGTCGGCGCTCAGCGCCGCCATTGTGTCGTCCTTGTCCTGGATGTTGTGGGCAAGGCGCTCATCGCACTCGGCCAGCAACGCCGTCTTCGTCTCGATCTGCTCCTTCCCCGCCGCGATCTCCGCCTCCTTAGCCGCCTTCAGGTCCTCGTACGCCTTTTGCGCCGCTGTCTCACGATCCTGCGCATCTTTCAGGTCTTTCTGGAACTCCTCCTTCATCTGGTCCAGTACCCCGAAGATTTCCCCAGACTGTGGCGCGTAGGACTGCTTGAAGGTCGGCGCGGCGTCGAAGTAGTCCTGCGGAGCCTGGATAAAGGCGGTCGCGGCCCTGCGCTGGGAGCGCGTCAAGACGCCCCTCAGCCTCTCGCCGTGCTGCTGCATTACCTTCTGCAGCGTCAGCGCGACCTCGCTCATGCGGCCGCCGGGCACCTGCAGGAGGGAGGCATCTGCCTCGTCGGTCCTGTGGTGTTTGGACAGCACCTCGACCGCCGCCGAGAGCGCGGAGATGGCCTCGAGCAGGCTCTTCTCCTCGGCCTCGAACTCGGCGATCTCCCTCTCCCTGATCGACGTGGCCTCCGCGAGCGCCTTCTCCGCGGCCGCGACCTCTTCCTTGTGCTTCGCGATTTCTTGATTGAGGCGCGCGCTAAGGGCCGTGTCCTCTTCAATGAGCGCCTCCAGCTTCTTGATGCGGGCCTCGGCGTCCGAGATGGCTTTGCTCTTCTCCTTGTCGTTTGTCTCACACCAGCATGCCATCTTGTCGTATCCGCCACCGTGCCTTGTGCACGTCGGGGAGTGTTAGGGGATTCCTCTGCTGTCTGGCAAGGTTTCTTGAGTGCTTTCTAGGACCGACACCATCCCCTCCTCGCACGCGTACTCCGAAAATCGTCCCCCTCCTCTCCAGAGCCAACGCTGTGTCAATTACACGACAAGAAAGTACTGTTTGGATGTCCTCGTTTCACAACGAGGCCCTGACCGAAGGGATCAAAACAGCCGGACACTACAAAAACTGCCAAACCCATCCCAGACAGCGGAACAAACAAATGCGTCGACGCGGAGATCCCCACATGTGCATCTCATGTTCCTACTACGCCTGTCTGCCGATACGTGTCAGTGAGCGTCTGCATGGGAGAGCGAGTCGCTCGCTCGAGACATCCCCATAGTCTGCAAGTCTGAGTGCGAGTGAGTCGTATGTCTGAGTGTGCGTGCGTCTGAGTGAGACAGGGTCTGCGTGTGAGCAAGTCTGAGTGTGAGTGCGTGTGCGTTTGAGCGAGTCGGAGAATAATGAGTCTGTGCATGAGTGAGTATGGGTAAGAGTGAGTCTTCGTGTGACTATGAGTGTGAATCAGAGTGTGGCTAAGACATACGAGTGAGCCTGAATGTGAGTGAGTCTGAATAGGAGTGAGTCTGAATGTGTAAATGGGGAAAGAAAGGGGAAGAGGGGGAGGTGAGGTGGAGGCGTCTAAGTAGATACCCATCTGGCGGATCCCCCCTGGGGTGTTGAAACAAGCACCTCCCTCGAGACATCCCCACAGTCCGCCTGATCGCACATCCTCCTACCCCTCCCTTCTCCTGTCCCTTCCTCCTCTCTCCTCCGCTTCCGTCATCCTCCTCCTCCTCCTCCTCCTCCTCCTCCTCCTCCTCCTCCTCCTCCTCCTCCTCCTCCTCCTCCTCCTGCCAGCGCCTCGCACGCACGCAAGCCCAATCTACCAAACCGGCAAGCCGCATGAGGCAGCCCACAATCTGGGCGCGATTCCTGAACTGTCCCCACCATGGCGGCTCCCTTTTGGGAGTGCTGAAACCAGGAACTCGCCTGAGACATCCTCGCAGTCTCTTCTGGGACCACACAAGTCCGAGCAACCGAACAGGCAAACCGCCTGGGACTTCGGAGTGTTCCCCACCCCTGGCGGCTCCCCCTTGGGAGTGCTGAAACCAGCGCCTCGCCTGAGACATCCTCACGAATTGCTCCGAAAGCAGAGGATGCTGCGCATGCAGGCAAGCAAACCGCCCCAGAAATCTCCACAACCTGGGCGCGAGCCCTGGAGCGTTCCCACCCCTGGCGGTTCCCCCTGAGGGTGCTGAAACCAGCGCCTCGCCTGAGACATCTTCACAAACTGCTATGAAGGCGCACAAGTTAAAAAAACCTAACACGCAAGACGCCTGAGGCATCTTCAAAACATGTGCCAAAGCAGAGGATGTCACGGGCCGCCGCAACAAGCAAACCGCCTGAGACAGTCCCACCATCTGGGCGCGAACGGGCCCGTGCAACAACCCCCTTACGCCCCCCTGTGGAGTGCTGAAACCAGCGCCTCGCTTGAGACATCCTCACAGCCTGTGTGCGTGAGTGAATATGAGCATGAGTGAGTCTAGATGAGGAATGTTGTGACTGAGTCTGGATGAGG